CTAAGAAGCACGGACACGGATACGGGACACGGACACGGACACGATAGGACACGGCGATACGTCAATTCCTAAAAAATTAGGACACGGACACGTTGGGATACATTTTTTTTTTAGGATATATGTAAATTTAACACAAAAAATATTTAAAAAGTCCTTGTAAAAGTTTTTTAATATTTTTTTACAGAGATCAAGTCCTTGTAAAAAAAAAAAGAAAGGGACAGAAACAAAACGCAGGTACTAAGAAAAATAAAGTTTAAATTTAGTGAAATAAAATGGTCAAAATTCAAAAAGCAGTTTAAAAAATGAGAATTTTTTTTAGTATATGAAAATGAAAGAAAAACAGAGGGTTGAAAAATAAAAAAGTTAGGTTATTAGAGTTTACCTAAGAAGCAAGAAAGAAAAACAGAGGGCAGGGTTGCGTCGTCGGCAGCGGCAAGGGCAAGCGGGCGTCGGCGTCAGTGGCAGCGGCAAGGGCGAGCGGCGTCGGCTTCGTGGAGTGGGTGGTGTGTTTCATTTTCGTGGGTGGATATTAGTTTATTTATCATTTATTTGTTTTTTTTAATTACTAATGGGCATTGGGCCTTCTTATTTGGGCTCAGAAAACCCACAAAACTATCATCCTGTGTCCATCCCGTGTCCATACCGTGTCCAGCCGTGTCCGATTTAAAAAAAAATAAATAAATCAGACACGCCAAAATGCGTGTCTGATACGTGTCCGGCACGTGTCCGGGCGTATCCGTGTCGGACACGTGTCCGACACAGATACTTCGCCCAAAAATGTGTGTCCGTGTTTCCTAGCTCAACACTATTATTATATTAAAATTGTTTTTTTTTTCAATCAACTGCTATTCCACAAATGTTGCATGAAATATTTAATCCAGAAACTGATTTTTATTGCTTTAAGTTTGAGAACTTTTAATTCTATCTATTTTGTTCTCTCTCTCTGGTGCTTGGCTGCATTATATGGTGTTATAGAACTAATGTTCTAGCCTTGAATAGGATGTTGAGGGTATGATGTCCATATCTGTTGAGGCAGCTGAGGCCCGTGATTCATTGAGTGATGATAAAGAGCTTATAAATACTTATGAGGTGAAGTGGTCTTATTGTAGTTATTAAGGTTGAAAAAGTTCTCATCATTTAGGACATTTCATTCTTTCTTTTTCTTTAAAATATAAGAGTAGCATCTTCATGCAATTATAATTTGGTCCTCATAATTTTTCCCATGACGTGCACAATTGTCACAGAGGCTAACCGCACTTGATGGAAAACGGAGGTTTGCTTTAGCAGCTGCAGCATCTCACAAAGAAGAGGTTGGAAGATTAAGGTATCTGTTCTTTTCTGTATGTAGATCTATCTTATTTTCATTGGGGGAAAAGGAAAAACTACTTACTATTAGCAATTACATGCAAATATCCTTTAGTTTTCTATCTATTTAAATTCCTTATTTGTGGTTACCTTGAAAAATGGGATTTTATAATAATCTTTATAATTTTTATATCTGTGACTTCTTTCACTTGGTTCGAGGGCCTGGCCTTCCCTCCTTTTGTACATTTTATTTTTCAATGGAATCCGTTTCTTATTAAGAAAAATGTCTAACCATGACTAGAATAAGAATGGAATTTAATGATAGACTTAAGTGGCCTGTTTATTCGGGAGTGTTTGAAGTTCTTAAAGGAACTAGATATAGTTTGTGGGACAATGATAAGACAAAAGATAGAATAGTTCAATCTTTAGAAACTCTATATGGGTTAATGTCATTTTATTATATTAATGAACAATTAAATTGAACGTGGTTAGGTTTGATGGCAAAAGTGAAATTTTATGTTTCATTTTTTTTTCCTATTTATTTTTTTTTAAAAAAATTAATTTTTGTATAATAGTTTCATCAATTTTTTTCTTGATACATAGCGTGACATTCCTTGCTTCCTTCTAACCTTTGGAATAAACAACAGAGAATATTTTGAAGATGTGGATCGAACATGGGAAACATTTGAGAAGACGTTATGGGAACATATATCCAACTTTTATAAACTTTCTAAAGAGAGGTATGTTGTGTATAATTTTGGTGACATTAACAAAAAATTAATTTCATGCGTATGAAGCTTGTCTTCCCACCTTTGGGTCTACACTTATTCTCAACTTCTCGAAGCAATTCGTCCCTTTACTGAACCCTTCCTCACTTTTGAGTGCCTAGGTATCCACCCTAAGCCTTTTCTCATTCTTTGGCATTCATTCGTCTCAAAAGAATCTTGGGGCTATGCTTCGTGCACCTATGGGCTAGTAAATCTGCAAACAGATGGAGTGAAATTCTGACAGCCTATGTGGGATTTTTTTGGGATGCATGCTTTTTAAACTGTCTTTTCTTATCCCATCATTGGTGTGTATTATCTAGCTTGCAAATATGCTAAAATTAATGTCTTCAGGTTAGCTTGTTGAGTCATTGGATTGATTTGGGCATTTGGCAAATCCAAAACAACAATTATCATTATACAATTTCATTTTGGTGGACATTCAAAAGATGATATCCGTGCTTCAAAATTTTGATGTTTAGACTCGTGACTATTATTTGTGTGAATAATAATAAAAAAATTTATACATATATATATATATATCTGGTTTGCACAGTAGAAGGATTTTTGGGATAGTGACTTGCTGAGGAAGATGTGGGAAAATTTTATAGGAGAGCAATTTTGGCTTCCTTGAGGTTGCAAGATGATTCCTCCTCTCTCACCCCCTTCCCCCAAATAATTTGCTTTGAACAATATGGAGTTGAGTAGTCAAGTTTTATGTAGATGAAATCTTGCCAAATTGTTGTGGTAATATTTAATGTCGATTACAGTGTGTGTGTATGTGTGTGGGATATAATCAACTATGGATTAATATTGTTAAAAACAGTAGGTTACAGAACTCATTCATTGTTAAAGCTTCATTAATAGCTATAAATATGATTTTGATCCTTTTGGTACTATTTTCCAACTGTGTGATTTTTCCATTTTGCAGTCCACAAACATTGGTTCGTGCTATAAGGTACGTCCATTGGCATGGGGGTAAATTTAGTTTATTGTAATTCAGTTAGAACAATCATACATATGCTTTGAATATCATAGTGTTGAGAAAGAACTCAAAACTTTTTATAGAAATTAGAATCACCCATCCTTCTTGTATGTTTCAAATTTCCTCATTATCTTGTTTAAGAAAGACACTTATTAAATAACAAATGAAGTGGTTTCCAACAAATATTTTTTTTACTATTTAAGCTGAAAGGATAAAAGATGATTCGGTGGCTTAATAATGCATAACGTGAGTAGCAATGAAGCTGGTATGGTATTTAAATACTCCCAGGGGAAAAAGAAAGGGAAAAAAAAAAGAGAAAGGAAAAGCGGTTGTCTGATGTTTAGCAGTTTGTTAAAAATGAGGACTAAGAGTTCTACCAAGTTATATAAAAATTTATATAATCACCAACTGGATACAAATATAAAATGGGACAACCGATTTTATTTTATTTTTTCTTTTCTTTTCTTTCCTTCTTTTTCTTCTTCTTCTTTTATTTTTTATTTATTTTTAGTACAGGACAACCAATTTTCAACATGTCAAAAATGATGGAATTTTCTCTGTGATTGTTAATTTCTAACTTCCACGAAGAGGCTGAAAGAGATCACCTAGTATTATTTCTCTTGTTCAATCTTGTGATCATACAATAAAACTTTTATGGAAAGCAAGTCCCTAAGTAACGTTTGTACACGTATATACATTTTGGTTTATTGGAAACTGAATACATTTACACAAATGTAAAAATTGGAACTCATTCTTATTGCTACCCTATGTGTATGCTCTTGACATGAAGGGCCCAGTGAAGATATGGAACGCTGTTGAATATATGAAGCTTCCATTGGTTATCAGTCATTACTATTAGACCAAATATAATGTGGTTTTGTTTTGGGAATTTTGGATGGAAAGTTGGAAATAGTCTTAAAAGTTTTTTTTTTGGGACAATTGGGAGTCCACTATATCCAGGGGCACCTGCGCCTGTCCCAAGGCTTGGACCCAAGAGACATCAAGGATTTTCGGTATTAAGCTCACCAGTAGGTTCGAACTTGAGACCTCTAAGCTATTATGACCAACAGACTCCAAGTCCTTGCCAACTGGGCTGCCCGTTAGGCGCTTAGAAACAGTCTAAAAGTGAAGTAGAAAAACAGAAAAAGTTTAGAGTAGTTGCATATTAAATTTGCATGGGCATGTACCATCCTTAAAAATTAATCTTGACCTTTTATTGCAAACAATTGGAAGGCATATTTGTAATTCTTTTATATAGGTCGTAGGTTGTTACATGTAAGCTAGACTTTCTTGTCCATTATTTTAATGCTGTCGATTTTCTGAACGGTATGCGATGAACTTTTAAGTCCTTTCCTTTAATTGAAGCAACAACTATTATATCTTATCTATTAAATTAATTGATTCCAACCTAATGACCCAGAAAAAAAGGAAGAAAAAGGTGGGTAAGGCCTTTAATTTGATGTTCTTACTATTTGAGGCGATTATATTTTCTAAATTAAAGAACAACTGCCATTTGATAAGGAGATGGTGAAATGAAAAAAATCCTCAATGAATTGTTTCTTTCAACTCTTTAATTCCACTGATCTTCAGATAGAAGTTCCTGGGAAATCCTTGATAGGAATTTCTGTGATTGCTATCTGATTAATTGAAATGATTTTACGGATAATTTTTCAATCATATTTTTTTAGAGTCGTCGAAATGCAAGAAATTCTCGATCAACAACTTGCTGAGGAAGCAGCTGAGGCTGAGGGAGGTGGTGCAATGGCAACTGTAGCAAACCCTCGCAGAACCACAAAGTAATTATCTTGACATATTTTACACGCGTTTTGATAACTGATTTAGTTTCATTTCTGATGATCAATCAATTTTCAATTTATCAAACCAGAAAATCCACCACAGCAACAGCTTCTTCAAGAAACCTAACACAGCAAAAACTGAAGGCTCAGGGGAAAGCATACAAAGACAAATGCTATGAACAAATAAGGAAGACTGTTGAGGGAAGGTTTAGTAAACTTTTGAATGAGGTATTTATCTTCAAAATTTTGTATAAAAAGAGAAAATTGAAATACATACATACATACATCCATACATATATATATATATATATATATATTACCTTTTTGGCTTCTTGTAACTGTATCTCATGAAAACTATTTCTCATCAGCTAGTTTTTGAAGACCTGAAGGCAGCTTTAGCGGAAGCTCGAACGGTAAGCATCATCAATCAAGCGTTCTAGGTTTATTTATTTATATATGGTTTCAAATGAGGATGAGCAATTATGCTTTAATCTTCCTCTTAGAATTACATTTTTCTGCATATTTGCATTGAGTTTTCATTTTTAACATTTTAGATTGGAGAAGAGCTTGGTGATGTCTATGACTATGTGGCTCCTTGTTTCCCACCAAGGTTTGCTGATCTAGTGGTCTCATTAAGATTTATTTATTTGTTCATTATTATTATTTTTATAACAAACAAGGACTTCATTGAGCCCAACAAAAGATCCACATTAATCGTATGTGTCCTTACTCATTTCAGCTTGTAAAGAATATATGATTTGAAGATTATTTTTGAAGTTTCTTATTTGTTGATAAGACACTTTGTTTCTCTGGGAAAAAAGTATCCTTTTTTCTTTGAAATAATACCTTGTAACTTCTGATCTTTATGCTTTTGTAGATATGAGATATTCCAACTCATGGTCAATCTGTACACTGAAAGGTTCATTCAGATGCTCAGATTACTCAGTGACAGGGCAAATGATTTAACCAACATAGAAACTTTAAAGGTACTTGTACTGTATAAGCAGTCAGTTTTTCCATCTAATAATTATAATCCTTTTTTGGGGTGATGAATGTTGCCTTTTCCTTCTAGATTCCATGTAACAGCGGCCTTTTTGTGGGCAGAGAAATGGTTTTTAGTTTTGACTGAATAACTGACAAACACGTACATTTATGTTTATAGTTCGATAGAATTACTCTCAATACAGAAAATATAGATTAGAGAAGAGATCTCATAATAGTTTGCTTCATATGTAGATACTTTCCATTGATATTTCAGGAGTGGAACAAAAACTTGTACAAAGCTTGCTATTAAATACATAGCTTGATTAATTCATGGGTTTTGTGATAATTTATATCCCTGTCGAAGAAGGGATTTGTCCCTAGCTTTGGTTCATCGCAAGATAACTTTATTTTAAGATCATATTGGATCTGTTTAATAGATGCCAGATGGATTGACCCTTCCGTTGTGAACAAATTGTTTCAGGATAATTATTATTTAGCACTCTATGTAGTATGACATCATACGTATTTGGCATTAATCTTTGTGAGAAAAATTTTAAAAAATTAACATCTTAGGAGTGACCCAACTGCTTGTATGTAATTATAAATGATGTCCTTTTATTTGAGTTTTTATCATCACATGAAAATCTTAGTTCCTAGATTCTACTCTTACTTCACTATTGGAGTTAGGTGACTGGTTGGGTTGTAGAGTTTCAAGAAAATCTGATTGGACTAGGTGTTGATGAGTCCCTGGCTCAAGTTTGTTCTGAGAGCGGTTCTATGGATCCTCTGATGAATTCGTACGTTGAAAGAATGCAAGCTACAATGAGGGTAATGACTTAATATGAATCTTCTATAGTAATTGGAAGGATGATAATGCTGGGGTCGCTAATCATTTTCAGCTGTTACCATTGTTGATTCTTATGGTTCCTAGAAATGGTACTTGAATATCTTGGAGGCTGATAAGGTTCAACCGCCCAAAAAAACTGAAGATGGAAAGCTGTATACACCTGCTGCTGTTGATTTGTTTAGGATTCTTGGTGAGCAAGTGCAAATTGTTCGTGATAATAGCACGGATGTCATGCTTTACAGGATTTCATTGGCAATTATTCAGGTCAGAATTTTTTTTACCCTGCTACAATTTCAGTGGCACTTTAGATTTAGATTGCTCTTCAATTGTTGCCTCGATAACATGAGGAATTCTTCTCAAATCACATGGAGACATATTCTGTAGTAAATGAATGAAATATGTAGATTTTTCTGGAAGTCTTGGCGTTAGTGTTGCTCATTTTAAAGTTTTCACTTTTTGTATAATGCTTATCTAATTTTTGTAGCTGGAAATTTTAACTTATTAAGTATAACATGCACTTTTTGCTTTTTGTTACTATAATTCCTCTTTTAAATGGTTATTGAGGCAGTTTTTTATTCCAAGGTAATGATTGATTTTCAAGCAGCTGAGAGGCAGAGACTTGAAGAACCTGCTTCCGAAATTGGTCTAGAACCTTTGTGTGCAATGGTTTGTCTTCCCTTATGTAGGAATGATTATATTTTTAATGTTTGCATTGAAACTCGTGCTCTTATTACTTGATATTGAAAATGCCTACAGATCAACAACAACTTGCGTTGCTATGATCTTGCTATGGAGCTAAGTAATAGCACGATAGAAGCGCTCCCTCAGAATTATGCTGAACAGGTGATGCAGTGCTGATCTCTTTGTGCGTTTTCCTTCTGAATTTCATCTTGTACCTTGATGCTTCTTTTAAATGTTTTCTGCTATTAATAACTTTTGTTACTTATTTTCAAAGAAAAATCTAGTCTCCTAATGATTCCTTTTTTAAAGGGAAAAAAAAAACTGAACCTGCCTATTAATGAATAATCACTACCCTATTTTTGGATTGTATTTGTATACAATTTTTTTTAATATAGAATTTTGAATGATATTGAATATGTAATTTACACTAAATGTTTCCATTTCCAGTTTTTCTTAAAGTTGGATAATGAAAAAGTGTGAATATGTGGGCCAATATCTCTTCCTTTTTGATTAAATTCTAGGTCCTTATATTTCAAAAATTTTGAACATCGTATGTGGTGCGAGACATTTGTATTACTCAATGAAGATAATAGGTCCCTTATCTGCAAGTATTCCAAATCCTTAGATCATTTTGGAAGATAGGGCCACATACTCATGTGGAAGAGGAAACGCACGAATAATGTGAGATACCAATAAGCAAAGATAGGGCCCTGGGAACTTCATTTGATCCTGGTTTGTTTTCTCCGTATATTTCACAGATAAATTTTGAAGACACTTGCAAAGGCTTCCTAGAAGTTGCCAAGGTACCGGATATTTCAAGCATATTATATTTCTATTCGCTTATGCACCAACATATTATATTTCTGGGATAGGTTTGAGTCAGTTCTCCAACGAAATACCATATTACCTGACCCTAGACTAAGTACTCCTGCAGATTACCTATATGAAGATTTTAAAACCTAAATAATGTGTAAACCTTTGCAATGTCAGGCATAAAAAATGTGTAATTAAGTCTCTTCCTTGCCCCCTTATTTTTGTAATTTAGGTTTTTTGTTAATTCAAATGTTTCTTAATTAAAAACGAAAAAGAAAAAAAAAGGCATGATTCCCCAATTATTGTGTTATTCCAGAGACTGTAGACACAGATCTTGTCTTTCAACATCCCGTGTGTTAAATTGCTCATTAGCTTGTCTATGGAAAAGATGGACTGAACAATTATTTCATATTAATTGATGCTAGGAAGCTGTGCATCTAACCGTCAGTGTCATTTTTGAGGATCCTGGGGTGCAGGAGTTACTTGTCAAGCTTTATCAGAAGGGTAATATTTCTTCTCTCTTTAGGCAGATTGTATTTGCGTTGTGGTTGGTTTGGAGGATATATTGTTTATGATCATACCATGCCCTATGTTGCGTCGTGTTTGTCATCTTCCAGTTATATTGTATAGTTAGCCTTCGAAAATGTAAGAGTCCTAGTAGGGATATTTTGGGAATATTATTAGTATATTAGTAGGGGTATTATGGTAATTAGTTAGGGGTGAGTTGTTATAAATAGTAGGGAGAGGAGAAGGATAAAGCTCAGTTTATTAAAAAAAGAAAAGAAAAAAGAACAACAAGAATGCATGAAGAGTTTAGCTATGAATAGTTTAAACGTATTATTCCAAATTAACTTCGGTCCTCCATCTATGAATAGTTTGAAACCATTTAAACGCTGTGCTATTACCTTATTTTCTTACAAAAGTTACCCTTTTTTCCTATGTTAGAATGGTGCGAAGGGCTCGTTACTGAATACCTAGTCGCAACATTTGGAGACTATTTCACAGATGTGAAGATGTAAGTTCTCATTCTTTTTTTCCTTCAGTATTCTAGTCCAAAACAAAGCATTGTTGAAAAAAAAAAAAACGGAACGAAGAAAATCATTTGTTATTGAATCATGAAAAGAATCCAAGATAGAAATCTAGACCATGCGCTGTCACTATTCATTTGGTCATGATTTTTTTATTTTTATTTTTAATATATATAAAATAAGCTACCCTACATCAGTGTTAGACTGAGTTAAATCTACTCCTTTTCTTGGAGTAAATTTTCCGTAATGCAACCTGCATGATAAAAAAATCATAGATACATTACAGATTTTATACAGGAAATCATCATCATGTTTAAGACATGGCCTCTATGCTTAAGAAACCTAAGCATTTTGCATTCTCCTTTTTTGAGAACATTCTCAAAATTATATTAAAATTTTGGAAACAACCAAAACAAGTTTCTTCTTTCTTGTTCTCATTTTTAATTTGTTCCAAAACATAAATAAAAAGATTGTTCTATCATAATTAAATTCATGATGTTGGGGCAATGTAGTTCATTTTTATTTATTGAGAATGAAGAAACGGAAATAAGAACGAACGTTACCGAACGGGCTCTCAATTGCCTATCTATTTAACCAGTTCTGTTCATTCTTTGCCTTCTACAGTATAAAATCTTTTATCTTTTTGGTTTAACATGATTATTGTCTTTAAGCTTTTTTTGTAATCTGTATATATGAATACTTAAGGTACATTGAAGAAAGATCGTTTAGGAGATTTGTCGAGGCTTGCCTAGAGGAAACTGCCATCGTCTATGTAGATCATTTGCTGACACAGGTGTTATTCTGGCCTGACACGTGCCTAATCTCGACTTCTTATACCCATACGATGCAATTGTCTAAATTTAAAAAAAAAATGTTGTGATTCTAGAAAAACTACATAAAGGAAGAAACTATTGAGCGGATGAGGCTGGATGAAGAGGTCCTCATGGACTTTTTCAGGGAGTATATAAGCATCTCTGTAAGTAATTTCTGGATTTTTTTTTATCGTTACTTTACTTATTTATTTATTTTTAGTTCTTAAGCTTATTTTTTGTATTCTCTATTTGTAACAGAAAGTAGAAAGCAGAGTAAGGATACTGAGTGATCTAAGGGAACTTGCTTCGGCTGAGAGTTTGGACTTTTTCACCCTCATTTATACAAATATCCTTGAGCACCAACCAGATTGCCCGGTAAAACTTTCTTCACCTTCATCATGTCCTTTATAGGTTACATATTAATTACCAAAAATTAAATCAGTATTCTATTCTACCTGCAAATTGACCCTATACTGCCAAATACGAGCATTAACTTTAGTGGTCCTACTCCTTTTCTTGAGGTTCAAAAAAGTTGACCTTAAAATATTTATATATAGCTTCTTTTTCTTTTTGAGAAAAAAAAATATATATATATACATATATGTATATATAGTTTCTGTATATTTAGAAAGCGACTATTTTGGTCTCTTTATTTTAATTTTTAACTCATTTCTTTTGATCTAGTTTTTGCATGAAATTTCACTCACTAAAATTATTCAAGTAGGAACCAAATTGGTCACTTTTCAATAGTGTGGAGACTAAAATAGACATTTTGAAAGTACAATGACTACAATGAACCTAAGTTGAAAGTACAAGAATCAAGATGAACGTTTTTTTAAAGTAAAGAGACTAAAACGAGCCAAAGGCGAAAGTAGTGAAACCAAATACGTAAACACAGGACAGCAATCTTGAAAACCTTATAACTGAATTTCTGATGATATCAAATTACAGCCCGAGGTGGTGGAGAAGCTTGTTGGACTTCGGGAAGGCATACCCAAGAAGGATGCTAAGGAGGTATATTATTTCTCATACTTATTTTAATCATCATATATTGATTAGTGAAGCTTCTTTTTTTTCATCTTTTTAAACTAAAACCTTGACTATTGCTTGACCATAGAATATTTGGTAAACAGAAGACCAAAAATGATGGAGGGAATGGAAAACCAAAATTGTTAGTAATGAAATTGTATAAAAACGAGATTGGTTATGAAAAAGTAAAATGATGGGTGGTGTATATGCGATTGCAACAGGTTGTACAAGAGTGCAGAGAGATATACGAGAATTCGCTTGTTGGAGGTAAACCCCCAAAATCAGGTTTTGTTTTCCCAAGGGTCAAGAGCTTAACACAGTCCAAAGCAACTATTTGGAGGAAGCTCACTTAGTTCTTTTTTTT